TATAGACGTCTTCGAGTAGATCCCCATGAAGGAACGCGTTGGAGATATCTAGTTGCAGTATCTGCCATTTCCGGTGTACAGCTAAGGTGAGGAGGATACGAATTGTTGTCATTTTGGCGACCGGGCTGAAGGTTTCTGTGTAGTTGATTCCCAATTGTTGATCATATCCAAGTGCAACTATGCGAGCTTTGTAGCGATCAAGTTTTCCATCGAGGAGAGTTTTGGTTTTGTAGGTCCATTTGCAACCGAGAATAGGTTTGTTGAGCGGAGGAGGAACAAGAATCCACGTGCCTTGTTTTTGGAGCGCTTGAAATTCGTCTAGCATGGCCTTCTGCCAATGAGGCTGCATTGCAGCTTTCTTGTAGGTGTTCGGCGTGTCCTGCACAGAAATGGTACTCACAAGTGACAAAATATGTTTAGGCTTAGAAATGCCTGATTTTAGGCGAGTTATCATGTGATGAGTTGGTCGTTGAGAAGTGGTAGGAGCTGGTGCAGTGGGAGGTAGCGCGGAATTTGAAGGAGTGTGTTGATTCGAGTGGGAGAGTTCACCCGAAATGTGAGATGGGGAGGACACAGACGGTTGTATTATTGCAGGTTGGCTGGGTTAAGCGTGAATAGTGGAGGTTGGTGTTAAGAGGTAGGGAGATATCTGAGTGGGCGTGGGGATGTGGTCTGATGTGGTTTTGCGGAGCTTAGTTTTATATGGAAAAATTTGTTCGTAAAAGACCACGTGCCGAGAGATGTGAACCTTTTGAGTGGTTAAGTTGCAGCATTTGTAGCCTTTGTGAGAAGTTGAGTAGCCAAGGAACACACATTCTTGTGAATGCGGAGACAGTTTGTTAGGTGCATAGGGTCGGAGCCAAGGAAAGCAAAGGCAACCAAATGTGCTAAGAAAGGTGTAGTTGGGTTGCCGGCCATGAAGACGTTGAAAAGGAGTGTCAAGGTTTATGGATTTGGAGGGAAGCCGGTTAATAAGGTAATTGGCAGTGGATAGAGCTTCGGCCCAAAACTCGTGAGGAATGTTGGAAGCGTGAATAAGGGTGCGAGTTATATCTATCAGGTGACGATGCTTGCGTTCAGCCACCCCGTTTTGCTCGGGAGTGTGGGGACAGCTCAGTTGGTGTTGAATTCCGTGGTGGTGAAGAAAGGAGGTGAACTCGTTGCTTACAAATTCGCCTCCGCCATCGGAGCGGAGAATTTTCGGAGTTGTTTGGAATTGATTTTTAATAAGTTTGTACAGGATTTTAAATTTGGAAAACGTTTCTTGCTTTGTATGCATTAAGTAAATCCATGTAAAGCGAGTGAAATCGTCAGTAAAAAGAACATAATAGCGAAAGCCGTCAAGTGACGATATAGGGGCCGGGCCCCAGAGGTCCGTGTGAATCAGCTCAAAAGGACATTTAGTAATTGAAATTGTTCTATTGAATTGAAGTTTGTGACTCTTGGCCACACTACAAGAAATAGAAGGTAAAATAGATGTAACATTCTTGATGTCCGGAATGGCGTGCGAGAGGACGGAGAAGATCTGTCGGTGAGGATGTCCTAGCCGGTTGTGCCAAGTCTGAGCGGCGTGAGTACTGGCGTGTAGGGCCACGGGATTGATGGCTCGCTGTTTGCTAATATTGTAGAGACCATTATGAAGATTGCCACGAAGTAACGGACGACGATCCTGGATATCCTTAATTACAAAACCATTGGCGTCAAATCTTATAGATATTGGATTTTCAGTAGTTAATTTAGAAATTGATAGCAGATTTTGAGCTAATGAGGGTACATGTAAAATTTTGCGTAAATAAAGCTTACGAGGTGTGTCGAGAAGGGGTAATATGCCCTGACCAGAATTTTGAATTGGTATTGTCGAGCCGTTGGCGATGGAGACGCTGTCTGGTCCGGCGTAGGAATTAGGGTATTGCACGTTAGCGATGTCCGGCGTGAGATGGGAGGTGGCGCCGATGTCCAAGATCCATTCGGATGAGTTAGTTGGAGTGGTTTGAGCAGTGAAGGCTTGGGGAGATCTTGTGATCGTGGGGGCGTATTTGAAGTTACACCTGTGCCAGCAGTTGATTGCTATGTGGTCTGGTTTGCCACAAATTTGGCAGGTAGGCCTTGTGTTGCTTGCGGTAGGCGTCTGTACCGAAACCGACACACTGGAGTTCTGGGTGGGTTGTTGATTCTTGTTCTTGAAGAACCGTTTCTGAGATCGGGCTTTTTGTGAATTGTAGGCGTTTGTATATAGAGCTGTGTTACCAGCTGCAGATAATGAGTCTTTGGCATGTTCTTGAGTGACATTAATCTCCTCACTGCACAGCATGGAGTAAAGATTGTCCAGATCTAGCTGTATCGGATAGGTGCGTATTGCGGCTTTAAAGGGATTGTAGGAGGAGGGTAAGCCATTTAGAATATGAATGATGATGTCTTCAGTATCAACTTTTGAACTAGATGCGGCTATACTGTCAACAATTGTTTTAATTTGGGATAGATATTGTTGCACGGATAGGTTTTTCATCTGAATTTGATGAAGTTCGTTCTTGAGTTGTATTACTCGAGAACGACATGTGGGTTGAAGCCGACGTTCAAGAACTTGCCAAACCTCTTGCGCGGAGCTGGCGGTTATGATGTAAGGAAGGATGGAAGGCGATATTGTTGAAAATAAGGCGGAGAGAAGATTGCTGTCTTCAAGTTGCCAGCGGAGACCCTTCGGGGAGGTGACATCGGCAGGAGAAGGAGACGCACCGGTGAGATGTCCAGCATAGCCGTTGGCAGTAAATTGCTGAAGAACTTGAATACGCCATATGGCGTAGTTGTCGGCGGTGAGGGCGTGGGGAATGAGATTCTTGATATTTGATATGAGAAACTTGAGTTGTGGAGGAATGAGAAGATTTGTGGAATGGTGGCCGGAAGGTGGAGAAGGGGTAGGGTGGGTGTTTGTCGATTCTTGATCAGCCATGGATGGCTCTGATACCATAAAGACAAAGAAAAAGGAAAGAGGACAGACGTCCTAGAGAGAGCAGACAGGGACGGAGATAGGAAAGTAAAGATGTGTTTCATTAAACTAAAGTTACGGTACAAGTTTCCTTATATAAAGAATACATGGCATAATGGTAAATAAGTTAAAGCTGTTCGCTTATACTCTGACTATCAACAAAGAGGTCTTGGATTCCAATCTTGTGTATGTGATGCGTGTTTGAGTTTTTTTTAATTGGCCTAAATATCAAAAAAAATAATTATCATACTAGATAAAAATATAATGCGTCAGTAAAACTACTATCTCATGCTTTTAAATGTGATAGTAATCTTAGAGAAAAAAATCCTAAACATCTTTAATAAATAATCCAAAAATAACATTGTTTATCTTATAGAAGAAACGTCTTCTCTAAGAGATGAAATTGTTTGTTGGTATGCCTAATGTTTCGTTTGGAACAACTTTCTTACTATTTTCTAAAGCAACTTTTTAGTATAATAATTTTTAGTTTCAAATTTTTTTTAATACTAAAACAATGAGAAAATTATCTCAAACGAAACTATGTCTTGACATGCCAACTGCCAAGGGTGGCTCATCAAAGCTTCATGAGGATCCAAGTGACTTTCTAGGCATGAACAACTCTAAAAGTCCCAATGACCTTTAAAGCTTCAAAATTCTCCAAGAAATCTCATGGTTCTTCGTGCCTTGAATGCTCCAACTTCTCTAGAACTCCCCAAAATATTGAATGCTCTAACTTATTTATAGATTTTAAGAAATGTATGATGATCAAGGGCGGAACCAGCTCTAATTTTCAGGGGGGGGGGTTTAAACTTATAAGACATATATGTCGGGGGTCCAAGGGGGCAGCACCCCTGCAGGGGTAATTTTTAGGAGCAGCGCCCCCCGGAACAAATTTTGGTTTGAAGGATATTTTTGAAATTCAATGATGAATTCTCTTTACTATTTGTTGGGGGCAACCCCAACAATTGGGTTCCGCCCATGATGATGATCAGTATCCAAAATATGTAGAGTTCACTATAGATACCTTCAATAAATGATGAAAGAGATCTCCACTCATGATCAAAATGTGATCAAACAAAGATGCCCCTAAGTTGATCCAATTAGTGCACCCAAATCAATTAAGTTTTACTCAATTAGATTATGGTGGTTTAATGATAGATATTAGTATGACATCTTTGATTAATGATCCAAAAATACTATTATTTAGATCTCAATAGAATATTCATAAAAGAGGTGATGATGGAACGAAGTTTTACTTGTTGTATCATTACAAAAAACTTGAAAAAGATTCATATATCAAAATTAAGGTAATAAAAAGTAGCATTGATATCTCACTATTTACATCAAAAGAGATTTACATCTTCATGTGGAATATTTATATAAATAATTTTTTTTCTTGGACGAATAGGCGAACAGATGAGTGGCGACGAACTTGCGAGTGAATCTGATTGCTCGAACGAATAGAAGATAGTCGTGCGGGAAATCAATGGAGAAGGCGACGAATTTAGACGAGGAAGACGAGTGTTATAATAGATACAAAATGAAGGTTTTAGGTGTTATATTAATAAATATAATAGTTTGGGTATTGAATATGTATTTTGAATAGTTTTAAATGTTATGTATGTAAAAATCCCAGAAATTTAATTCAAAAATTTTTTATACTAAAATACGGTTTTAAAAAGTAATAAAAAAACCTAAATTATTTTATCTTGATATCTATAAATTCAATACATGTAATATAAATTTGAGAATAGTTGGTCTATAAATAAATTTAGGACAAATTGAAGTCCTTAGCAACTCCAAGGCCTATGCATTTCACCTGAACTCATGCTCAATAACAATAAATTTGGGGGCTCAATAAGTTTGGGATGTTTATAATGTTATTATGCATAGCTTTTATATACCAGTAATTTTAAAATAAATTTAAATTAATATAAATATAAAAAGAATCAATAAATATTATATTATATTAATTAAAAAAATAAAATTTGAAATTTTAAAATTCAACTTCATTAAGTTTGGATCAAAATATACTTCCAAGTTTCTTATTTCCATGTCCTTCAGTTCATCAAATCCAATCCACTACACTTGTTTTAAAGCAGTAATAAAAGCTGGTCAAACCTTGACATTATTCAGGTTTCTCTTATGCCAAGTCCAAGAGTCCGCCGGGGACTTCGGCAGCGGCGGCAGCACCACCACTTTCCGATGCCGCCACAGCCCAAACGGCCACCCTTCACACTCCCTGAACCATTTCTCCGATGCCGCCGTCCGACCACTCAAGCAGTACTCTTCGTCTCCAGTAGAGCACCGAGAGAAGCAGCTTCTTACCGAGAAGAAGTCCTCATCTTTCTCGTCTTCTCCTTCATACTCTCCATCCTTCTTCTTCTCCCTGTCCTCTGCATCATCGGATTTGTTCATATTCGGCGGCGGCGCCGCCTTAATCAGCCTCGCGAACTCCTCCGCCGTCATGATCACGAAGGAGCTCCTCGGCTCGCTTCTCGCCTTCATCGCCCGTTGCCTGATCTCCAAGATGATCACCTAAACATGAAGAAAAAGCAAAAGTTCAGTTTTTTTTTAAATTTTCCCCTTGACAGAAATCCTATTAAGGAATTTCTTATAAACTCTGCTTGAATCGTATATATATATAGACATGATAATTGTTAAGATCGGAGTCTTCAGCGGCGCCGTCGTCACCATCATCGAAAGAAACAGAGGAAGGGGAAGGGGAGAAAGGGCCATGGAAGAAAGGGAAGCAGAAGGGTTTAAGGAAGGAGGGGAGCTTTGGTTGGTTATGGGGATCAAAGCAAAGGGAAAAGCAAGGAGCCATTGTGCTATGAAGGTCAGCTGAATGAAATCTAGTGAGAGCCTGTGGCTTTTAATGTATGCATTTATATAGACTTTAATATTATATGTGCAGTGTGGTTGGGAAATTGGCAATGTGTGACAAGGGCATTGCAACCTAGTTTTGTATTTTTGAATAAGGTTTTCAAAGCCTTTGGGGTAAAGATAAAGTTAGCAAGTATAATATAAGGAAAATACTTGACATTGACACCTTGATTAAGCTCGAAATGATTAATTATAGCTTTATAGTTGATTTTTATTAAAAATTAGTATCAACCTACGAGATTTTATTATGTGTGGATGTTGTATGGAGAGAACCGTCCGGTTTTATCTTTGTGAACAGTAAAAGCACAGCTCACTGTGCTTTTATTGTTCACAAAGATAATACCGAACAGTTCTCTTCATTCGTTGTCCGCATAGAATAATTTCTCCAACCGTGAGATTATTACTTGTAGAACCCAGACACATAGAACCATTCAATTTTGCTACTGTGAACAGTCAAAACACAGTAAAAGCACAATGTTTTAGCAGAATATGAGTAATAATTTAGGTTTCATTTTGGACAATTTTTTATTGATTTCTAAAACAAATTTTTAGTACAAAAATTTCTCGAATTATAATTTTTTTATTTAAAAAAAAAATACTTTAGAAAGCACTAAAACGAAATTTTAATCAGCAGCATAACTGTACCATATGCATTTACATATCCCAATCAACAAATTCATATTAAATGATTAAGGTCAAATTCTTAAAACTATTCTAACATGAATTGTATGGTTGGGATAGGTAATTATAGGTGCAACCACTCTTATAAGGATAATTCTAAGTGCAATTACCCGAGTAATTGAAGAGGATCAAAATCCAATGCTTTGATCAGACAATTTCAACATCAAAACAGCACATAATCTCTAATAAAATAGTCCATTCCTATACATCTTACACTTATTTTTCTATTATGTGCTGAATTCTTGTTGAAAATTCTGATGAGAAAAGTAAACTCTTTGGAAAATATATTTAAAAAAAAAAAGTTTAAAAACGTAACCTAGACCGGCCCCTTAGCAGATAAAACTGAATTTTGGTGACAACAATATCAATGAATGTAGGATATTAGAGCCTCTCAATTTCGACAAATTATTCTGTGCGGAGAGCAGACAAAAAGAAACGTTCAATTTTGTCTCTGTGAACAGAAAAAACGCAGCATGAATAGTAAAAGCGCAAATCACTAGACTCTTACTTTTCACAGAGATAAAACCGGACGGTTCTCTCGTCCGGTGTCCGCACATAATAATTCTTTCTGTTTTTCTTTTGTTATTTAGAGTTCAATCAAAATATATGAATTAAAGAAATTGGGTTGTCTTTTATTAGTTACTACTGTTCCTCTTAAATTTCCACCAGTTAGTTTGGCCCACCTGTTCTTAATTATGTATAGTTGGTTTTATTATATATAGAGTCATTAAATTATGCTATTAGAATTTTAAAAATTGTAGGGGCCTGAAACTGCTTAGTTAAATGGAAGGAAACCATATGAATCTTACTGCTCATGCAGTGGTTGATAGATTAACAACTACTGAAGTTACTTGAATTAGCGTCAAGTTTCAAATGAAATTATTTTCAATGTTTAAAAGGCTGCTCCAGCTGCAGGTACCTTACAATAAATTGATCAAGAATTCCATTAAAATTTATCCATCAAGGTTTAGGGTGGTTGGTAGGTGAGCCCGGTTAGAAACCTCCCATCCCAGGTTCGAATCCCCTCTTCTACTACGGCCTCACCTCTTCAATTGGGCAAAGCAAGCGTGGGCCCGATGCCGATGGATGGCCTTGCTAGTAGGGGTGTCAATTCGGGTCAACGGGTGGGGTTTGGGTCGAACCTGGAATTGACCCGGCACTATTCGGGTCAACCCAAACCCGACCCATTTTTAAAAACGGGTCAGGTTTCCGAACCCGAAACCAACCCGATTTGGATCCGGGTCAACCTGATCCGACACGAATGACCCGAAGTTGACCTAAAATTGGTAGTTTTCAGGTCAAAAATCGAGTCAATCTTCAATTTTCGGGTCAAAATCGAGTAAAAAAAGGGTCAATCTCGGGTTTCCGAGTCAAATAGGAGTTTTTGTGTCAATTTCAGGTCATTTTCGGGTTACTGGGTCAACCCAAACCCAACCCAATTTTTAAAACGAATTGATTTGTTGAACTCGAACCTGACCCGTTTCGGGTCCGGGTTGACACTAACCTGGATTTTTCCGGGTCGGGTTTGGATCGTGTTTCGTACTCGCTAGGTTCCGCGGATGAATTAATTACACTGTCAAGCACTAACTTTTGAGTAGCAGCAGGTAGATACCCCCATTCCAAAAAAAAAAAAAAATCCTTTAAAACTATAATTTTCAGAATACTTACATTACAATACATAATATTACAAAAACAAATACAATTTATGGTGATTATCATCTCCATCATATCAGAAATGTTCATGTCATCTAAGTACAGGAACATTAGACAAGGCATTCCAAGTTTTCTTGGTGTAATCTTTTTTTTTTTTTTTTTTTTGTTGGGATGGCTCTGTCAAAGCTCCCAAAAAGCTCAGTGTGACGAAGAAAGGCACTTAACCAAGAAATTACCACTGGCACTTTGCGGAAAATTCTTTGGTGGCCATAGTTTTCAAATTTCACTTGAAGCTAAAGTTAGAGCAAATTCAAGACGTATCAACTACAAAGAAGAAATAGAGACAGAGACTATTCTAATATATCAGTTTTGGCCTTAAATGGCCTGTCCTCAACCAGAACTATGATGTTAGGTACCAAATGCAACCCTTTCACATTCTTTCCATGGGAGCAAGCTTGAAAATAGTAAGATTACCTGGAATAAAATGTACATTTAGGCTTCGTTTGGGACGGATTTCTTACTGCTTTTTAAAACGATTTTTTAGTACAAATTTTTTTTTTAATTTTTATACTAGAAAGCAGCTTTAAGAAACAGAAAAAAACCGTCTCAAACGAAACCTTAGATAACTTGTATAGAGCACCAGGATGTCGTTTTAGTGCTATCTTTTTCAAATGAAAAGATGGCTATGTCATCAGGATTGTCATATTTCCGTGCATATCAAGGGAGCTGTTGAGATAAACATGTTGTCATTGTTTATCAAAGTAAATAAGTCATAATTATGATAAAAGAGAATGTTAAAGATGAAACAAAACATCTGCACCTCACTATCATAATTAGAAGTGAGAGTCAAGCCAACTCATGAGACGACTTGAACTCTACTTAATAAAGAACTCATGAGCCAAACTCAATGAACAAACATATGAAACTCAAGCCCGCCCTGATTTAACTAATTAGCTCGTGAGTAAGCTTGTTTAAAAAATAGTGATATAAAATATATTGAGATTTTGGAGCTCAAATAAAAAATTGTTATAAAATTTTAAAAATAATATCACTTTTTTATATGAAGTGATACTTTGTTATTTCACTTGTAATTCTATGAGTTCGGGCCAACTCATGAGCCAGCTCATTATGAAAGAGAGAAGATAATTATGATTCAAATAAATATTATAATACACCGGTCAAATCAAGATCGAACAGGATGACGTAAAAAATAATAATATTATTAAAATTTAATAACATTAACATAATAATTCTATGAGTTCAGACTCGAACTCAAACTAGATTAATTAATCAAATTCATGCTCAACAGCTCAAGTCAAGGGGTTAAATAAGCTCGGCTCAACTATTTTACACCTTAATTATAATTTATGCTTTCTGATTTGTTTAAGCTGTGTAAATAGAGGGTAGGGAGGGCAGGCAATGGTACATGTGCACAGATGAATAAATTGGATTGCTCTCAAACATTCATAAAGTCATGCAAGCATTTGAAAAGGAAGTAAGAATCCTTTTAGATTCTTTTAAGGATATAAACTTGCCTAGCACTTCTGCAGTACCATCTTCCATTTTCTTATAGAAGTTTACATAAATCTAGAAGACCACTTGACTAAAGGTCTTCTGCTTTCCCTACTACTCATCATATAAACAAAAGGATAGCTACTTATGCCAAGATTCGCTGGGCAAATTTCAGCAGCCGTGGCATGTGGATCTAGCACTGAAAATTGCAAGGGAATTTTGGCAATAATTGCACCTTAAAAAATAATAATTTAGGCACCAAAATCAGGGAGTAGCGAAAAAAAACTCTAAATATACATTTAGTTGGATTACAACTTACAAGAAAACTTAACTGAGAACAAAGGAAGCAGAAATTATGGACATGTAGTATCGAATCGCATCTCTTCATCAAGAAGATTTTTTTTTCACCTGTCAGTCTGCTTAAATCTCCTTCAAAAACTTTAAATATTGGGTTGACCTTACATTTCACTTTCTCTAGCAGTTCACATGGTATCCATCGAATGACAGTAGCGTGGACATCTTACTAATCCTTAAAATAATCTCGTGAATTATGACCTAAAGGGTGATGCATATGTTGACCTGTAAAAAAAAAAAAAAAAAAAATAATCCTGTACCTACTCAACATCAGTGTCCAACTCTGCACATTGTAAGCCGGAAATCCATCTCAAATATCGCATATGCAGCTATCCGGTCATCTAAGGACGTACTTCGGACAAGCTCCCCACGTCGACGCCTATCCTCCGGTCGCGTCGACGCCTATCCTCCGGTACGACCGGCCTTGGCATTAAAATGAGAATGAACTCGTCGTTCGTCAGTTCTTCTCCTACACTCTCGTGATCCTTCCTCGATTCAAACCGACACCAAGCTGAGTTCCACACCTCCTTTCTACAGAACACCTATTGAACACACAACAGCTCACATAAGGGTGACAGACACTAAATACAGCAATACCTCGCAGTCAACACCAACAATTTGCATACAACCTGTCACTACTAACAAGCACGCTAAAACCACCCGTGAATGACATCGGTGGATACGACGCAAGTACAGTAGCTCCCCTATAAGCATATCTGAGAAGATTATAGTACATATGCAAATAGAAAACCTATGATGCAATGATTCATGTGCGAGCCAGTATCAACAATCCGTTGTAAGTGTGAACACCTGCAAGCAGCTGTAAGAGACCCATCAAGCTACAATTGTCCATCTACGGGTGGTAGCGAGCCAACGAATAATATGTAGCATATGCAAGATCATCCCTACAACCAGCAATTATTCGAAGACAAGCACAACACCCACATCAATAGCACCTTGTGAGCAGAAGATACAGCTGTGCATTGAATGACAATTTGCCATCCAACATACATGAGGAACCAATGATAAATGCATTTCACAATTGGTAGCCTACGTCAACACACAGGTGAATAAATAAGATGTGCGATAGTTGTAATGCGTGGGTGAAATACGAAAAGCTTACAACGAATGCTACAATATCTCTGCAATCAATATCAGTGTTTGTTCACTTGTAGATGGATACTACCATTCCTTGCAACCAATGATGGCTAATATGGTCTATTTATGAATAACATATTGGGTTGATTTCGGGTTTCCGGGTCAATCCGAACCTGACCCGATTTTATAAATGGGTCGGAAAACAAAACCTGAACCCAATCTGTTGGGGAAATGAGTTCACTCGAACCCGAAGTTTTTCAGGTAGGGTCAAATATTGAAACTCCTAACCCCTTTGTTTTTATAAAACATGTCCGGATTTCATTCAAGATGACTTGTATGAAGACACTATGGAATTCTTTAATGGAAATGTGTTACTAAGATTCTTTAAAATAGCATTTAATGTCTTGATTCCTAAAGTGAAAAATCCATATTCTATGACCGAATATAGACAAATAAGCCCTTATTCAGCTGTTCATAATAATCAGAAAGATACTTGATCGCAAGCTTGCTGCCTTACTACCTAAATTGATTGCTCCAAATCAGAGTGGGTTTGTTACTGACAGGAATATAACAGATAATATTTTTTCAGCCCAAAAGTAATCAACTGAGTTGAAATGAAATATTAGAGATGGCAGTATATTTTTGAAACTGGACTTGGTTAAAACATAGGATAAGGTCCAGGGAAAGTTCTGATATAATAAGGTTATGTGGATTTCTGTAATCAAACTTCGAATCATAATTGTTGATTATCAGAATTGTTGAATTGGGAAAGCGGTGGCATCATTAAAGTCTGCAGGAGTCTTAGGGAAGGTGACCCATTATCTCCATTCATACTAGTTGCAGAATATAGCTCCAGAGGGCTAATACAAATGTTCAATAAATAACAATCTATGAATTACCATGAGGGATTTCCTATAGCTATTAGTCACTTATCTTTTGCTGGTGATATAATGATGTTAATGAATGGGAGTAAATATTCTGTCAGGAGACTCGTGTCTTACCTGGATTATTATGAAGGCTTAAAATCTTATGGACTTATTGCTTCGCCGTATCCCAACACATGGCAACTATAAGAAGGAATATGATCACTCAAACCTGTCGATTCTCCAATAAAATATTGATATTAAATACTTTGGGATGTCTCTTTCAAAGGCTTAAAGTGTGTTTCCTGAGGACATGATAAAAAAGTTTTCTAGAGAATATATATCGTTGGAAATATCAAATATTGCCACTGGGAGGGATAATTACTCTACTGAAGAGTGTTATATATGCTATAACAACATACCTTAGATAGGCCCTTCAATCTTTGGTTGCTGTCATAAAAAGACTTGAAGGCCTATTCAAAAGGTTTCAGCACTTGACATAATAAGATCCCTTGATTAGCTAAAAATTCCACACCTCCTTTCTACAGAACACCTATTGAACATACAACAGCTCACATAAGGGTGACAGACACTAAATACAGCAATACCTCGCAGTCAATACCAACAATTTGCATACAACTTGTCACTACTAACAAGCACACTAAAACCACCCGTGAATGACATCGGTGGATACGACGCAAGTACAGTAGCTCCCCTATAAGCATATCTGAGAAGATTATAGTAGATATGCAAATATAGTAGAAAACCTATGATGCAATGATTCATGTGTGAGCCGGTATCAACAATCCGTTGTGAGTGTGAACACCTGCAAGCAGCTGTAAGAGACCCATCAAGCTACAATTGTCCATCTACGGGTGGCAGCGAGCCAGTGAATAATATGTAGCATATGCCAGATCATCCCTACAACCAGCAATTATTCGAAGACAAGCACAACACCCACATCAATAGCACCTTGTGAGCAGAAGATACAGATGTGCATTGAATGACAATTTGCCATCCAACATACAAGAGGAACCAATGATAAATGCAGTTCGCAATTGGTAGCCTACATCAACACACAGGTGAATAAATAAGATGTGCGATAGTTGTAATGCGTGGGTAAAATACGAAAAGCTTACAACGAATGCTACAATATCTCTGCAATCAATATCAGTGTTTGTTCACTTGTAGATGAATACTACCATTCCTTGCAACCAATGATGGCTAATATGGTCTATTTATGAATAACATATTGGGCTGATTTCGGTTTCCGGGTCAATCCGACCTGACCCGATTTTATAAATGGGTCGGAAAACAAAACCCGAACCCAACCTGTTGGGAAAATGAGTTCACTCGAACCCGAAGTTTTTCAAGTAGGGTCAAATATTGAAACTCCTAACCCCATTGTTTTTATAAAACATGTCCGGATTTCATTCAAGATGACTTGTATGAAGACACTATGGAATTCTTTAATGGAAATGTGTTACTAAGATTCTTTAAAATAGCATCTAATGTCTTGATTCCTAAAGTGAAAAATCCATATTCTTTGACCAAATATAGACAAATAAGCCCTTATTCAGCTGTTTATAATAATCAGAAAGATACTTGATCGCAAGCTTGCTGCCTTACTACCTAAATTGATTGCTCCAAATCAGAGTGGGTTTGTTACTGACAGGAATATAACAGATAATATTTTTTCAGCCCAAAAGTAATCAACTGAGTTGAAATGAAATATTAGAGATGGCAGTATATTTTTGAAACTGGACTTGGTTAAAACATAGGATAAGGTCCAGGGAAAGTTCTGATATAATAAGGTTATGTGGATTTCTGTAATCAAACTTTTTTTTTTTTTTGGAAAATTATGGGCAAAGCCCTTTTCATTAAAATGAGATAGTTACATGTAAGCAGAACTATTAAGTAAAACTACTTAAAAGAGAACAAGACACAAAAGAAAAGAGGGAAAGAAAATAAAATTTCCCAAATACAAGCTATCAGCAACCCAGAAAAAAACCAAAATTAGAGAGGAGCCACATAACCAAAAACAGTGAGCACACAGAGTGCCCACGGGCTCAGGATTTGCCGCTCTCTCTACCTGGTTGCAAAATAAATAGCCCAAAAATTCTGCCCTCCAAAGGAGAAAAAGACAAATCTGTAATCAAACTTCGAATCATAATTGTTGATTATCAGAATTGTTGAATTGGGAAAGCGGTGGCATCATTAAAGTCTGCAGGAGTCTTAGGGAAGGTGACCCATTATCTCCATTCATACTCGTTGCAGAATATAGCTCCAGAGGGCTAATACAAATGTTCAATAAATAACAATCTATGAATTACCATGAGGGATTTCCTATAGCTATTAGTCACTTATCTTTTGCTGATGATATAATGATGTTAATGAATGGGAGTAAATATGCTGTCAGGAGACTCGTGTCTTACCTGGATTATTATGAAGGCTTAAAATCTTATGGACTTATTGCTTCGCCGTATCCCAACACATGGCAACTATAAGAAGGAATATGATCACTCAAACCTGTCGATTCTCCAATAATATTGTCTAAGGAAATTACAAATGTTAAACGTTATAAAAAGATATTGAAGAAGAAGGGAACTAGAGCCAACAATCCATTAGTTGAAGCTCTATGAAATAAAAGCCGCAATGTCATTTTTGTTGGAGGTTTTTGAAGGATGCAATACCTGTCGACACAGGACTTGAGAAGGTTTGAATTTCAGATGTTTGTCCCAGCGCTAATGTTGCTAAGGAGATCTATTCATCAAAAGCTAGACCTTGACTCAGATATGGAATCATTATGCTTCAATATTTTAGCTGCAAGTTCCAAACTATATGAAACTCATTCTCTTTTGAATGTGTGGTGGTGTTATGAGGATTGCATCAATAGTGATCAATTGAGATTGTTGATACCTATGTTTATTGTATGGTTAACATGACTAAAGAAAAATGATGTTGAATATAAGGGCATGAATTTCAATGGAGCATAGTAGCATGGAAAGCCAATGATCAAATTAGAATTATCAGAGATGTGAATCTAATAGAGGATGGCTCATTTAAAAGATACAAAATTGGTACTCATATTATAAACTATGGAAGAAAAAGGAATCCAGGAGTGTGAAAATTGTGAGAGGTTGAAACCTTGCCTAGGGGAGGTTAAATTGGATGAGGATTGTTGCTCAAAAGGCAATCCTGGAAATTCTGCCAATTGTGGTTTAATATGAGATACTAAAAGCAAAATCAAACTTACATTCTATGATTCTTGGGAGTCAAAACTTCTGCATTTATATAACCGTATACACGGGCTCATGAATTAGAACTTTGTTAGCAATATATGTTTGAAAATTATGGGCGAGTCTATAGATGTGGACACTTTATCCTTAAATGAATCAGTATTTAGTGATAAAAATTGATCATGGAGGATTCTATATGATGAGGAGAATAAGGAAATTGTTAATTATATTCAAGTTTGATTTGACAGTATTTGGAGGAAAGGCAATGCAACTACAAATTCAATGGTTAAAGAGGGATATGAATTGAAGGTTTCTCAAAATATTGAAGAGAAGTTCAATGGTATTTCTGAATTAGGAAGACATATATATTGATGCTGTAATCTCAGAGATAAGATGCAAGTAGCGTATACAACTATGGAGGAATACCTTTTATTTTGTCAACTTTGTAGTTATTTTACTCGTAATTTACACATATGTTCTCTTGTTTGTACTTTTCTTATAAAGACCCTTTTAGATGGAATAAATAGTTAAGGGTCTACCTAAACCCCTGTATAAACACAAACAAATTTAGAAAAAAAAAAAATTTTACTCGTAATTTACACATATGTTCTCTTGTTTGTACTTTTCTTATAAAGACCCTTTTAGATGGAATAAATAGTTAAGGGTCTACCTAAACCCCTGTATAAACACAAACAAATTTAGAAAAAAAAAAAAAGATTAGCAAGCTCTCTAATGGCTAAATGAGGCAAGGAAAAGGACAATATCAAAGCAGCTTTCATGCTTGAAACTCAAATAATTACTTTGAAAAATGACCGTGCAAGAAAAAAAAAATAACGAAGAAGCATTTGACTCCAAAAGTCTGCTTAGCCATCAAGTAAGAGGTTTTTCTCTTTCTAAACTCAGTCAAAGCCACCAAATATCAGTGCAAATGTGCAAACACCAAGATGCTAATGTGACTAAGAATTCTTCACAAGCCATGGAACTTGAATCACCTAATAATTTAGTGATGGGGTGATCTATCAAACTTTTTTTGGTTGGCCTATTGTTAATATATGTAAGATTGCAATGCATCAAAAATGATAATGGTGATTCAACATATTGTTTTATTTTCATCATTTCTTTCATCCATTAAAACAGTCATTGTTTTGGATTTTTTTGGTTCTTTTTCTGGATTAGAATAATATACTTAGTGAAATATAACAGCTGTCATTTTTTTTCTTTTTTTTTTTCTTTTTAAGTAAAATTGCAATGCTATGTGAGACAGTCAAAATTGAATTAAAACTTTTTTTTTCTTGTATCTTTCTGTTAGCCATCAAATAGCTTCTTTTAGATTTTCCACGAGATTTGGTTTAACATCTAGATGGCAGCTATTTAGATTTTACATCTTTATAGCTGCAATCTTAAAAGGCCATCAAACAAGTGAAATAGATTCCTAAGATAACATTACACTCAAGATATAATCAAATAACATCATCCAAATGTATTCCATCATTGTCAATCCTCTTCGTTTATCTAAACTTCCAACTTAGCAAAATCAAGCCAGCATGAGTGCAACAACATCTTCACAGGAATTTAGTTAGATAAACGAGAAACCATTTACCAATTCAACAGGACTGGTTCCATCACCAATCACTGTAAGACAGTACCTCATTAAATCCAGAGTTACAGATAACAACATTAGCTCCAAAGAAATCATGGTATGTGGTATTTCAATACCTTTATTAAAAATGATCACATGCCCCATGCTTCTTGTCCAAATGTTAAACTCCAAACTCAGTTCTTTTTTCCAAGAAAAACTCCGACAATTCAAGAATAAAGCAAAGGATAGGCAAGAACCTCACCAAGAACACTAAGAAGAAGACGCGGTTAAGTTCTGACCATCAGAGCAGTGGCGAGTGCTGCTGATGCTGTTGGTTCTGTTTCTGCAACTGAGAGGATGCGATGGAAGAAAGCGATCGAAGTTTGGCCACTGCTGAGGTTTTGTCCGGCGGGCAACTCGCGAGGGCGACGCGGATGGATCGGAGAGCGGCGTCCGGTCGGCCAGTGGCAAGGGCAGAGCACGCTGCGCGGTAGGACTCCTCCGCCAGCCGTGCATCGTGGGAGGATCCTCTGGGCCCAAAGGCACTACTCACCGCGTTATTGGTCTCAGCTGCAATAGGTGGGAATGGAGATGAAGACGATGATGATAGGAGAGCGGTGGCATGGCCATACTCGACGGCGGCAATGGCTGCATCGATTTCAGCCATTAGGGCTTCGGGTGAGGAGGGGAAGGCCTTTATTGTGTCGAAAACGCTCCATCCATGAGAGCGGCCCTTGCCCATCTCTGGTCTTCTTTACTTCTTACGGTACCCGGCTAAGATCATGGGGCTTGTTAATCTCACTGATCCCTGCCTTAGACTAAATTCTTTTTTTTTTTTCAGAGAACTAAATTAAATTTATTAAATTTAAATTTTTAGAATAATAAATTGCTCATTTATATCGGCCTATTTATTTATTTTTTATTTTTAAAAAATCAAGTTATTTTTAAAAATACTTAAAACTACATTGAAATATCTTGAGTTTTAACATTCTCAACCAATGCCACTATAAATCATCGATGTCATCATCATCATCTTATTGAATGCCACAACTGCCGACTATAATCATCACAAGTTAAATCAATATATATATGGGATCAAGGGTATCTACTCATTGCCACTTCAAAGAGAGCGCTTGGTAGCGTAACTAATTCACCAGCGGGACCTATCAAGGCCACCCACCGACATCAAGTCCACACTTGCTTTGCCCCACTGAAGAGGCGAGGTCATAGTAGAGGAGATTCGAAGCTTTAGACCCCTATTTAGAACTAGCTTTGGAAGGCCTCTAATAATATCCATCATACTAACGTTGAAAGCTTCAAAGGAATTGGCAAAGTTAACCAACTTTATTTTCATGCTTAAGCTACGTTTGAGACAACTTTAAACTACTATTTTTTCTTCACTTTTAAGAAATTTTTTACTAAAAAATAACTATACAAAACAATAAAAAAACTGTCCCGAACGAAGCCTTAATCTTATTATGTTGGCACACCAAAACTCGTTCGAACATAGCTTCAACATCATGCCTTCATAAAGGCAATAAACTTTGCAAAATAAGAGCATAAGCATTTAATCATTTCATGGCTGACCAGTCCATTATGAGTCATGAGTCAGAATTCAATAGCCATGCCATTCCCCGCAAAACAAAGGATTTGTATCGGAAAACTTTTTGAGACAGTAGTTATAGTTTTATTTGACTACTATTTTCTTCGTACTTATTATTTTTCAAAATTTTCTATGATGAAAGTTGATTTCTACAACCATAAGAGTAAAGTTGCTTTCTCCACGACCAACTTTATAAAACACTACAAGTGTCCTAAACAATACCCAAAGTCTCTCTGATTTGGCAAATGGAAGGCAAGGCTTAAACCAAAATGAATGAATAATCATTCCAATTTATATAGATAGGGATCTATGATGTATTTATTTAATTATTTTATATGAATAAAATCTAATAATTTAAAGGCCAATTAAGTATCCTAAAAATGAAATATATTTAAATAAAAATAAATAATAAAAAATGATCCTAAATATGGCTTTTTTATAACAAATAAATGGCACGTCCGCCATACAAAAAGGACCAAACAATAAAAATAACCTGGCAGCATTGTACCCTTTCAGCATAGCACTGGCATATTCTTCAACATTTGGTTAATATTTCTGCACCATTTTCTGTGATTAGCAAGGTATGTTCGAATTGCGCTGATAAGCTTCCGTCTTTGGTTACAGCGGTCCAGTCATCAGACCAAATCACAGGCTGTGTGCTTCCCATTGTAAGCATGGGCTCTGCAGAATTTAATGATGAATTACAGATTTCGAACTGATAAAATGAAATTTAGTTGAATGAATCAAAAACTAGAAGGAAACAGAAATTTCATTGGGAGTTCAGAAGATCCAGAGATTTCATCAATATAGAAACATGGGGCAATCTCCAACATGCAAGTGCCATCAACAATACAACGAAAAATGGGAACTGTTACGAGAGGATTTTGGAGACTTAGGCTTCATTTGGGGTGGCTTTTTTGCTACTTCTTAAAGCGGCTTTCTAGTGTAAAAAAAATTTAATTTTGTATTAAAATGTTGTTTTAAGAAGCAGTAAGAAAATCGTCCAAAACGTAACCTCAGTGCACAAAATCACTACTACTTTTAGTTTATGATTAAGGCTTCATTTGGGACGGCTTTCTTACTGCTTCTTAAAACGGTTTTTTAGTACAAAATTTTTAATTTTTTTAATAGAAAGATGCATTAAGAAGCAAAAAGAAAGTCGTCTCAAAAGAAGTCTAAATTCAATAAAAAAATATTGTTTATAATTTTTTGATGTAAAATTAGTTTTTTCATCCTTTTCTTTTAGACACCCGTCGCGGTGCAATACCCTAATATTATAACATGCCCGCAAGAACTACATCGGCGTTACAATCAATCTCATCGTGTGTGTGCGCGCGTATTTGTGTGTGTATTTGTATATGTGTTTTTTTCTTTTTTGATTATGCCCCATAAAATATTGGGATCATCGCTTCCGTCATCCCGAAAGATATTGCAGACATGACCCATGGATGTTCCATGAGGAAAATTTTCTAAAGGGCAAACACAGCTCATCTTGGCCTGTTAGTTGAGAGCTTATGCTTCCAACTAAGAGGTCTTGAATTCGAGTCTTTGTGTATGCGTTGTGTGTGTGTTTGCCTTAAATGGCCTAAATGTCCCAAAAAAAAAAAAATTTCTAAAGGGCGGCAACATCATAAAATTTTCCCAACCTCTTGTAACCATTGAACCCTTTTATGGCCTCTCTCTCCTCCACGATTCAAACAGAGGGCAGAAAGTGGTATTGGCCAAGTCAGGGAAGTGGAAGCGAGCTAATGGCATAGTGCGCCCTCATTTTGTGGAAGTGAAAGCGAACCAGGCTAAGTTAGGCCAATCAAACTAGGTTTGTAAGAAATATGTGTCCAAACAATTTATTAGTGATTTGTTAACGATTGACACAGGTACATACATAATTCATACAACAATAACAATAACATCAAGTCTTTATCTCACTACGTGGGGTCGGCTACATGAATCTTTTTTCTCTATTGTCCTATTAAGAGTAAAATTCTCATTTAAATCTAATAAAAAAATATCATTTCTAATATTTTCTAACCAAATCAGCCTCAACTCAGCCTCGAGCTTTGAACAAAACATCTAGATAACTTCTTTGGATGTTTGCTTTATGCTTTGTCCAACTTGTTGAAGAAGAAAAATTCTTCCAACCCTCGTTTTACACTTTTTTATACTTGCGGAAGGAATTAGAGATTTTGACTTGGCTGATAACTTAAAACTTGACTTAGAGGTTCCTTTTGAGTAACTATCATTTTTTTTATGTAACATTAACCTTTTGACCAATTGAAAAGACCTCCTTAGATTTATCAATTTGAATGCTTGAAACTTGATATCTATTGCCATCAAATTAACGAAATGGCAGCTTTTGTACTATAGCATTTATCATGACCTGTTGAGTAAAGGAAACTGTCAGCAACTCGATCATATTTAGGTCTGTTAAGTTTGACATTATACATCCACTCAAGCCCTTAAATTTGAGTCGTTGAGAATTGTGCTTTTTCCAATCAGGTTTATTGAAGTTTGCATACTTAGAATCTTCTTTTATGACCTTCAGTTCTTAGCTTGGATATTTAGAAATCATTTTAAGTGACTGTATGAATGCTTTATAGAGTGAGGATTGTCTCTTCGACTTTGCCTTAACCCGTCAACCAATTCAGAGAATCTTCTACATTAGGGTCACTCTAGCTCTTTAAATTGGATAGGCTTAGAACTTGGCAGGTCCTACAATCATATTGAAAAGACAGGAGCCTTTTTAGTACGGCTTTTTTCTGACTTTTGAATAAGAGAAACTGTCAGCAATTCTATCACATTTGGATTTATTAAATCCAACCTTATACATCAGCTCAAGCTCTAGACTCGAGCTCGAGAAGCTTGTGCTTCTCAAACTTGACTTATTGAAACTGTCACTCTTAGGCTTTGTTTGGGACAGCTTTTTTATTGCGTCTTAAAACAGTTTTTTAGTATGAAAATTTTAATTTTGTATTAAAAAACTGCTTTAAGAAACAGTAAAAAAGTTGTCCCAAAGGAAGCCTTTGAAGTCCTTTGACTTAACATTCAAAATCTTGGGAAATTAAGGAGACGAACCTCCAACATTCGGAATTGTTATATATGCGCTCAATTGAAGGCATTACCATTTTCTTAATTTGCAGACATAATTAGACAAAAAGTGACGGGCGAAGTAGGAATTATCATTTTAAATATTTATTTTTAGATCATGATGCGAAGTACGATGTCAACCTAAATAAATATTTAAAAATACCTCCTCACTAATAAAGAAATTTTGATGTTCTTTAAATACTAAAAATTAAGTTTTCAAACTTATTCCGGGTCAGAAATATTTGCTTCCAACTCTAGATACTAAGGCGTTAGAGGTTGCTCCAACAATAATTGTTGAGCTGCAGCTCAAATTCCGCCTCTACCCTCTACCTTCTTTTGATAGTTTTCTTCTACAAGAAAAAGCTTCATCATTACGCTTTCCAAGTGCGAGACTTTGGCAATAGAAGCGGTGTTGATTGGAGGCAATGGCAGAAAACTTTTGCTTAGTGTTTCCCTTTCATGGTTGGGGCTTATGGATAATTCAGTATTTCAGATACTATGGTCCTTTTCAAAAGATCCTCCATAGTTGCGACAGTTTTACAAGTTCTTACTCACTACACGAGCGAGTGTGCACATTGTGTAGGTATTTCAGCATTAAGGCCTTATAGTATGTCATCGAACATTTATGCCAGCAACAGGCTTTGTAGCAACCTAAGTGTATAGTAGCTACAAAGTTTCCAGCATTGATGATGGCATTAGCCAACTAGATGTTGGCTTCACGCCCAAACTCAACAATGAAAAGGATGTTTCAAAAATCAATTCGGTTATAGGGAAAGATT